ATGGGCTTCCACCCCTCTGGTGTGGCCTTCCCACCTTCCCCCCTCCAGATCTCACATTCCTCTGGACAAACAGGAAGCAAGGGGGAGCCCAGACAGTGATCTTGCTGAAAGCTCCAAACAGGAGACATCCGGCCTCAGTACCACTCAGGGAGCTTTTTTAAATGTACAAATTCCTCCTTCACAGCTCGAATGCAGAGCAACAGGGCCCCATGGGACTGTGCCCCAGAACCTTCCATTTTAGCAAGTTCTCCAAGAAAGAATTTGGCATGCACCTGTCTGGCCAGGGGAGACGACCCTGAGCTGCAAGGAGCTTCTTCCCCTTCCTGTAGCCAGATATCCTGCCTTCCTGGCTTCTGTGATTTGGGGCCACTGCATGACCTCTCTGAGCCTCAGTTTCCATGTCTGAAAGAGGAGAGTGATACTAGCTCTACCTCAAAGGTATTATCGAGAAAACAAAAGTGCCTGGCACAAAGGAAAGGATCAATAATTGTGAGGGGATAACTGTTCCCTGGCAAACTTTCTTTTTCCCACGTGTGAAACGGAGAAAGCCACATCTTGCAAAGCCACTACAGTAGTTTTTAGAGTATACAAGCAAGCTCGAAAAGCACTCTTATTCCAAAAACAGCTTCATGATGCACCAATGCACTTTAAAAAAAAAAAAGATTATTTATTTATTCGTGAAAGACACAGGGAGCAAGAGGCAGAGATACAGGCAGAGGGAGAAGCAGGCTCCATGCAGGGAGCCCGGCGTGGGACTCGACCTCAAGTCTCCAGGATCAGGCCCTGGGCTGAAGGCAGTGCTCAACCACTGAGCCACCTGGGGATCCCCCACCAAAGGACCCTGGAAACAATCACGACTTACTGAACACCCTCCGTGTGTAGGCTCTGCTAGCAGTTCTGTCTCATACGCATCATCATGTCCATTTTCAGAGACGGAAAGCATCCTGCACTTTGCCCAGTAAAGTGGGGTTTGAGCTCAATCTCAGTCTGGGACCCACCCTCTGCGGCCTTCATAAAGCTGATTAGTAACTGTCTCGGAGCAGCAGCTCCTGAAATTTCCCAGGTTTTCTGCAGTCATAAATACATGTCAGTATTTCCAGGCAAAATCTGTTTATGTGAGTAAGCCTTGCTGTGAACAATGTTGTTCTACTTCAAATAAAGAATGGCAATAAAAAAACATGGTGGTATTTTACGATGTTAACTCATTCATCTTCATCTGAGTAAACGATACTCAAAAAACACAGGGTTTCCCAGTTTGTACAGTGAGAAGTGTCATTTTCTTTGGAAGAAGGCTTTCGCCCTATATGGAAAATTTGCCTCTACTTCCCACTCAGCTCTGTGATCTGTCTCCTCCACTGATTTTGTCAACACCCTCAGATTTGGGTCAGAATCATATTTTGCCTTTCATCCCACAGAGTCCTACCCTCAAGCCCGAGTCCCTAGGGCTCCCATGGGACTGAGTTTCTGGAAACAGAGTACTATCTTGACCATAACCACATTTAGCACAAAGCTTTATATGGAGTAGGTTCTCAATAAATGTGATTTGAAATCATGAGAATTACTGTTGTGGTAGTCTTTATAAAGATGAGAGCAAACCCAAAAACAATAATACCTATTTGTTCAAGCAGCCCTGCTGTGGAGAATGAAAAGGGCCAACTCTGACAGTTCCACAGAGGGAACCCAGAATGTAGACACACACTACCGTGCTCCCAGCCATCCAAAAGCAACCAGAGGGACTCCTTAATTTTTCTAATGGTTCCAAATGTTTTTGGGAATCCTGTGTTAGAGCAGACACTCTGGCAAGTGCTGTGGAGCTGCAGGTATATGAGGATCTGTCCAGCCCTCATGGGGCTCATTCTCTGCTGGGGCAGAAGTACATGGGGACATCCACACATGCGGGCTGGCTGTGCTAACTAGGATAGGCAAAGTTCTGATCGGTGCACTGAAAACTGTTTTGCTGTTGCAGACTAATCAATGCTTATGTTGGGTCATTTTTCCTAGCTAACTTCATGGTGTTTGCGATTTTGTTTTTGGTATCTATCTATCTATCTATCTATCTATCTATCTCATGCCATTCTTATTGAGTGTCAAAGTAGCTTAAGATCAATTTTAACAAAGCCCTTAGAAATACTCCACCTTTTGGAGACAGATCTAATGGTAAGAATAAATTATTAACCATACAAAATATCATCCCATTGTAAATTTGGATTCGTAGCTTTGCACAGTGGGAAGTTGAAATTACAATACACACATAGAACAAAAAAGCTATTCGAGCCCCAACTTCATGACTAAACAGTCAGCTTGTCTTTTCCATTTGCTCTATTGTTCGCTGCCGCCTTCCACAGCTATTTATTTTAATCCATTCCTCCAAAGAGATATTAATAAACTTTAGAACTTCCGTGTACCCTTCACCTCAACACAAGCAAAACAAATTTATTTTCTTATGTTATAATAGGTTTATTTTCCCATTATTCGAGTTTGCTTTTCAAGAGCGGCATGTGAGCACAGAATGTTTGGAGGATGTACAATTGAGCCATTTGGATTTCATCCATTTCTCCCGGGACCACACTGATAGGTGCATTAATTAAATCATGCCATGGTTTCAGAGCAAGCCTTAACCAGAAGAAAGAGGAGTGGTGGCAGTGGAGACCTGGGATCTCAGAAACAGAGGTGGGGGCGGAGGAGGAGGAATGGAGTGAGGAGGGGCCGGGAGGACGGAGGTGATGACACTGAGGATGACACCTCATGGATAAGGCAAAACTGTGATAAAGATATAAAGATACTCCTACCCACCTGCCCAGCTTCGAACATTCTGCTCGATGCCCCAAGAGGTGTGCCCCATTGGCAGTATAGGGACACCCAGCACTCTGATTGCTCTGTCCTCCCCATTCCTGAGGGAAAGGGAAGCTGGCTCAGAGTTTAGCTTCCACGTTCAGGGCCTCCTCAGCACCTAGTCAAGCCCAAGTCCTCAGATCCTCTTTCCTACACACAAATCCAACAATTTCTCACCCTAACTGCTCCCTGATAACTTTATGTTCCCCTTTTCCGTCTCCAGGGCTACTATCCCTGGGGCCTTGCAGATGTGCCCTATGCACATCACCCCCAACAGCAGGAGGCCTGGAGAACAGGCATTGAGGTCCCTCTGAGACCAGAGATCTAAGTCATATGCTAGGTTGGCTCTGAGGACCAGAAATAAAAGCTTTGAGGCCCTGGTGGTCAGTTATTTGTGACACTGAGGACAGGAAAAATACCATGTGGAGTGCTTGCCTGCCTGAGCCCCTAGAGGCTGTTCCTCCCTTCGGAACGGCCCTCTGACTCATCTTTTGACCCCTCTGGTCCACACTGAGCTCCCCCCTGGAGAGTTCAAGGGTACTTTCTGTCCTTAACCATTCGCTCACTTGGAACTTCATCACAGGCTGCCTTGGAACACCACTCGTATGGTTCTTTAGCTTCTCGTGACTTTTCCCATGGGATATTTGATGCCTTCTTCCCAAGAGATGTTTGATCTCAGCTCCTTGGAGGCAGAGGACCCCTGGCACTGGGCGGCAATCTGGGAAGACTGAGGGCATGGCAATGATTGGGTCATCCTGTTATTTTCATGTCCTCTCCTACAAAGTTAAGATGTACAGCAGAAGCAGGAATGGCCGATAGAACTGCTTTTGTTCTGAGGGTATGCAAACAAGTAAGAAGAATTAGGCACTTTTTCAAAGATAATGGAATCCAAAATTCTATTTTTCCTTTGACATGAATTGTTTAATTTTTGTAATCTTTCAGGCCATTGGGGGTGACAAATAGCTACATGACATGGCTGGGTGTAGCACAGATGCTGCAGGTGTAGAGGAAGACTCAGAGTGGGCAGCCCAGGAACTGAATATAGAACGTGACTTGGGTCTTGAATAATGAGTTAGTGATCTTTTAGGGGAGAAGAGGAAAAATATTCAAGGCACGGGGAATAGCTCCTGCTAAGGCAAGGAGGCATGAAAAAGACTGGTATATATGGAGAATGGCAGACCATTCAGTTGAATGGGCTTTAATCCCATTGTGTGTGTGTGTGTGTGTGTGTGTGTGTGTGTGTTTGCAGGAAGGGATGGCAAAATTGGAGAGGTGGTAAATAATCTTGACCCCAAGCCTCATTTATATTTTATCCAGTAGGTAAGGGGAACACAGCTGAGGTTTTTCAACCATTAAGATAAAGTGACTAGGGTTGGTTTAAGTCAGGTTGTTCTGCTGTAAAGAAAGAATTAGATGGCTGTCAGTCCAGAAGCCAAGGAACTGGTCTCACCTACACTTGCCTCTATGAGGCTGGATTATGGCAAAGTGATGCTTCAGAGAAAAATGGGAGAGAGAACAGACAGATGAGGTGGCCTGTTGGATGGGAGTCTGGGAGACAGAACAGGAAGGAGATTTTTTTTTAAGTGGTGGGGGGTGGGGGAGAGGAGCAGAGGGAGAGGGAGAATCTTAAGCAGGCTCCTTGCCCAGCATGGAGCCCAATTTGGGGCTCAATCCCATGACCCTGAGATCATGGCCTGAGCCGAAATCTAGAGTAGGATGCTTAACCGACTGAGCCAACCAGGTGCCCCAGGAAGGAGAATTTTTAAGGAACTCCAGGTAAGGTGTACTTATTGACATGAGGAATTTTTGTTTTTTTAGTAAGGGTAGAGAGTGTAGACTTCTATTTGGACCAATAAATAAAACTGTTATTCATGTTTGCAAATTGTTAGCACCAGCATACAATGACCCCCTTTCCTTGAAAATTACATGGTATCAATTTCATGCCTGTGGCAAAGTGCCCCAATCAAAGACATCCTGCAGTTGCTCAAATCTTTCCTCCTCCACATTCTTTCCTTTCTCCCACAACAGATTCCCTCTATATCAAGCCCCCTTACTTCAATGCAAGACACCAATAGGAGTTCAGACTAAGGGCAAACATGGAGCCGTTCTGGGCTCTGGTGCAAGTATGATTTCTATAAAGAGATATTTAAGAAACAAGGAGCAATGTTGCCATTTTGCCTTTAATGGAAAAGTGGCTAGCAGTTACAGTAAAAAAAAAATTATTTTATTAAAAAAAAATCTCTATCCAACATCTAGGCAATCACTGAATTTTCAGAAATACACATACACTTGAAAACCAATAGTTTGTATAAAAATAAATTTTGAATGTGCAATTAAAAAGGGAGATCCCCAGTCTTTTCAGCTGCACAAATGCACAATGAAAAGGAGCCGAGTCTATGTGAGAAGGGTTTACCCCACTGCAGAGGGGGCCTTGACTTTGGAAGATAGAGCCTGCTTGAAGCGCCTCTTGAGGTCTTGCATGTTGGGAGAGCGTGGCCGGGGAATGATGGAGGCTCTCCTCCTCTCCCCGCTGATGCTGTGTAGCTTGCTCACTTCTTTACAGAGATGTTGAAACACATCACAGACGTCCTCATAGTTTTCGCTGGTGGAAATTTCAAGGAACAGGCTGCCCAGCTCGTTGGCTAGTTGAATGCCATCGTGCGTTTGCACCTGCCGGGCATGCAGAAGGTCCCCCTTATTGCCCACGATGATCACAGGGGCCCTGGAGTCGGGGTGGACCTTGCGGATATGCTGGTAAAGGGGGCGGATGGACTGGTAGCTGTCATAGTCTGTGATGGAGTAGACCAGCAGAAAGCCCTCGGCCCATTGCACGCATTTGGACAGGGAATCAACTACCTGGGTGAGGTTGTCTTGGACCTGAGAAAGATCAAAACAAGTCTGGATCAAGGAAGCCCTCAGTGGGAGAGGACTCAAAATAACATCAAAGTAACCCTCGGAGAAAACGTTCAAAAAAGAAATCATAAAGACAGTGCTCAGATTCTACTTAGCTTCTGCAGAAGGAGGCTTTAGATGCAGGACAAGCAAGGTCCCTGCATGGGTTATTTTATTGGCTGTCACCAATGCATTATCTTTAAACCCTCTGCTTGGCAGGTATTCTTTGGTGAGCCCCAGCTGACTGAAGAAAGACTTCAGTGAGAACTTTCAAGGAGGAATGGCGCAATCTTTAGGGAGCTGAGGATAAACAAAACTTTGAAAATAAGCCAAGATAAATATCTTTTCCCAAGCCCATAAAAATATTTTTAGCATGTCCTTTTGGAGAATGTTACAGAAACAAATTCCTTCTTTCTGCTCTTCCACAAGACCTTTCCTCCCTGGGAGGGAGAGCAATTAATAACTTGTTAATCAAGTTAAATTCCTGACCGCTTGCCGAGGGGTTATCTGGTTGCAATTAACTGACTTGGGGGATGGGTTAGAAACAAAAGCACTCCTGCAGCCCCTGCTAGGGGAGAAGACCCTCCCTAGAATCCCACCGCAACAGTTTTTTTTTTTAAGATTTTATTTATTTATTCATGAGAGAGAGAGAGAGAGAGAGAGAGGCAGAGACACAGGGGGAGAGAGAAGCAGGCTCCATGCACGGAGCCCGACGTGGGACTCGATCCCAGGTCTCCAATCAGGCCCTGGGCGGCGGCGCTAAACGGCTGAGCCACCCGGGCTGCCACAACCACAACCACAAACCACAACCACAACCGTTTTGTTAATGGTTCCATGGCCCAGCTCTGAAAGAGGCGGTGAGACCCTCCCTACAAGTAGCGGTGCCTCTGCCGGGTTAACCATCTCTCTCCCCTTTCCAGGCGGCAGGCAGGAAGAAGCTGCCTCTCTAACCGTTCACTCGCCCCGTCCCCACCAGGAGGGTTTCTAACAGCCCACCGAGGGACAATCCACGCCTTCATCAAGCGCAAAACAGGAGTGTGGGGCCACATCTTGCATCTCGCTCCTGCTGCGGAGCCCCCAGGGTGTGTGTAGGGTGCTGAGCAGTTGTTGGCTTCCTGCTGTCCTTACCTGGATGCCACCCGGCGTGTCCTGGATCTGCAAGGACAGCTGGTCTCCCTCCACGTAGACAAGCCGTGAGTACAACTTGCCTGAAGAACCAAGGAGAGTTTGCTTTTCAATTCCCACACTTATATTAGAAAAAAGAAAGTCGGAGCGTGCAGCCACAAGAGCAGAGAGCACGAAATTATTCTAACCTGTATTGGGTTCATAATCGCCAATGAATCTCTTGGTCAGGAAGCGCACGATCATTGCTGAAAAGGAGAAAAAACCAGGAAAATCAGTTAAAGGACCGGGACTGAACCGTCAAAGCGGGCTCTGGGCCTCGGAACAGCGGGTCTGACCCACGTCCGGAGGCTCGGCGAAGCCAAAGGTGCGGGCGCCACGCTCTCCTGCGGCTGCAGGTGTCCACCTGCCGCGGGGGCCGAGCCAGGCGGGAGCAGGAGTAGGCGGCCCGGGGGAGCAGCGGGGAAAGCGGCTGGCGGGGGACAGAGAGCCGGGGCCGGCGCAGACGCGCGCAGGCTCGCCCGGGCGCTGCTCCTGCCCCCTCCGCCCACGAGGCCCCGTCGTCCCCGCGCGGTCCCCGGCGCTCACCGCTCTTGCCCACGCGGCCGGCGCCCAGCACCGCCAGCTTGATGTCCTTGGGCAGGAGGTAGTCGGAGGAAGACTCGGGGATGGGCGCGAGCAGACAGTGCCCAGACATGGTGGGCGGCCGCATGGAGAGCGCAAGCCTGCAGGGCCCCGCGCCGGCCGCCCCGGACCGGCTCGCGAGCAGCGGGCGCCGACGCTCGGGTGCGCGGGGACCGCGGCGGCGAGCGAGCTGCCCGGGCGAGCGCCTTTAAAGGGCTGGGCGCGCGCGGTGGGGGCGCGGCCACCGCCTCGGGCTCCGCCCCTCCCCGCCCCTCCCCGCCCCTCCCCACCCTTCCCCGCGGGGACCCACCCGGCCGCGGAGGCGTGCGCTCCCCTTCGCCGCTCGACTCGCTCCCCGCCGGCCCCCGAAGGGCCGCCGCCGTCCCCGAGCGCGTGCCATGCCTCTCCTCAAGCTGGGCCTGCGCAGCCCTGGGGCCCCCGCCACCCCGCAGGGGCCGCCCGGGTTACTAGCCAGGTGGGTGAACCTGAGATCAGTTAGGAGCTGGAGGAAAGAGAGGAGAAAGTGCAATCAGTAGGATGTTTCTGCAACAACGGGAGGGATAAACTCCTGTTGAGAATCTTGTCCACCCCACCCCCCTTTTTAAAGAGTTTATGTATTTATTCATGAGAGACACAGAGAGGGAGGGGCAGAGACATAGGCAGAGGGAGAAGCAGGCTCCCTGCAGGGAAGCCCGATGCGGGGATTGATCCCAGGCCCCGGGGATCACACCCTGAGCCAAAGGCAGACGCTCAACCGCTGAGCCACCCAGGCATCCCTGCACTTTTTATTTTCAAAAGGTTCTGAGAGATGACATTCATAAGGAAAAAGCAGGAGGGTAAAGCCCTGATTAGCAGCAGTATAAGGGATCTGCAGTCATGGTGATCTGGCTCCTTGGTGGCAGTGACGGTGTGCAGCTCCGCCTCCAAGCCGGGACCCTGCCGCTGGCCTTGGTTGAGTCCGCTCATTAGTGAATGCTCCATACACATTCCATCCCCTAGGAGCTCTGACCAATTCTCCATCGCTAATACTGTCCTCTGCACTTGAGTCATGCCTTTGCTTTTATCAAAGTACTTCTAATTGTAAAATGAAGTTCCGGTTGAGGATGGGGGAGTTGGAGAAGGGGACACAAAAGAGAAAAATGGCTTGGTTTTGGGTTTGGGGAGCCCAGCATAGTAAGGCAGAAGCCTTGAGATGGGATCCTTGCAGGTTAGAACTTCATGCTTCTGGCCTCCTGTGTCCCAGCCTTGAACGTCCAATTGCCTGTTCCAGGGCCCCACTCTTACCCCTTCAGAGGAAGCTTGCATTTCTATCTTGGTTGTATTAGCTAGCTTTTGCTGCAGGACAAACTGGATGAAACTTAATGGCTTAAAACAACAATCCCCATAGTAGCTCACAAGTCTACAGGTCAGTGGAGCGGTTATCCTAATCCAGGCCAGACTTCCCTGACCTAGCCTGGGCCCTTTCATGTATCTGCAAAGAGCTGGCAGAGGGTGGGTGGTGGCTGGCAGGCAGTCACCTGTGATAGGGTGGGGGGCAGTGATGGAGTCACATGTGGAGGGGTGGCATCCCCCACCCCAGCAGGCTGGCTAGGGCTTGCTCTCCCATTGGCTGAGCTGGTTTCAGAGAGAGTGAGTGGAAGAGGCCTCTTGAGCCCGACTCCTCGGTGGAACCCATAACACCTGCTGTATTCTATTGGTCAAACAAGTCACAATTCCAGCCCAGAATCAAGGAGAAGGGGAGGTATACACTGCACTCCTTAGTGCAGGGAGCTGAATTCACATTTAAAAGGCCTGAGTGGCTCAGTTGGTTAAATGTCTCACTCTGGGTTTCAGCTCAGGTCCTGATCTCTAGGTGGGGAGATGGAGTTCCGCTTCCACTCTGGCTTAGTGGGTTGTCTGCTTCCACTCCCTCTGTCCTTGCCTGCCACCCTTCTCTGCTCATGCACTTTCTCTCTGAAAAAATAAAAAGATTTAAAAAAAAAAAAGGGCTAAGTGGAATGCAGAAAGGGATAGAGAATGGAATCCAATTTTTGCAACCAACCACACTAATTCATGTTCCATCTACTCAGAAGTCCAAACCAGCAACCTGCGAGTCATCCTTGACTCCACTCTCATGTCCAAGTTCCACTATTTCTAGTGCCTATACTCCTTGGTGTCTCCCCTACTCCATCCCTGCTGCTCTCTTCACTTCTCAGTGGAATTCTTCAGGACACTGTAGTAGACTAGGAATAAACAGTGACTTATTTACCCCTCTCTTGGAAGCTTTCTTTGATCAGTGCTGCCACTCGAACCCCTCTCTCCTGGTTCCTCATTCTTAGGATGTGGCAACACTGATCTCAACTGTCACTTTCTGTAGAATTTGTTTCATGACTGTCCCCAGGAGGGCAGAGACTCTAGCTTGTGTCTTTAGCACCAGCACATAGTGGTACCTGGAACTTACTAGGTCCTTTGTTCACAGACCAACTTCCTGAATGAATAAATGAATGTCTTCACTGTTTGAACCGGAAAAGACAGAAGTCGTATGTGTAGCCATTATCTTAATACCTTTGTTTTGAGAGAAACCTACTCTCAAGAGAAAGCATTCCAGGAAATGTCCTGAGTTGAGCTGCTGTATTTCAATAGCAACTGACTTTTGGCAGCTTAGCAGGCAATCCCCTTCTGTTAAACTTCTGTTTAACTGGAAAGATTTGAAGCAGGGCATCTCTTTCCTTGACAGGAGAGAAGGCACCATAAAGACAGTTACTATTTACAGAACAACCTTGAAACTATTAGGTCCCAGGGATCCTTCAGCTGTTCAGTGATAGGGGTCCAAGTGCTTGTGTCCCAGATTCTCGTGGTTCTCCTTGAACACAAAATGGCCCCCCTGCTTCACCAAACAGCAAGTCCTTACCAAAGCAAGAAGGAAGTGTGGGACTCTATTCTTTTGTTTCTTTTTATTATGAAATAAAATAATTCTCAATACCCAGCAGACTTATTACCTCTCAATCTCTAGAACTGAGAAGCTAAGAAAAAGTTTATCCAAGTATCCAGCAAAGAAGACTGGGATTGGCACTACCTTAGAACAACCCTCATTCCTCTCCAGGAGCTAGTAGATACCTTGCTCCCCCATTAAAAATCAAGAGATAGAAGATGTGATCACTGCTGAGTAGGAATCAATGGAATCTGCCACAAACACCTTCCATTTTCCTGGGATTAAATTGCAAAACTCTCAAGGGAAAAGAGCACTTTCTTGGACTTATCTTTACACCTCATTCCCCATCTTACATTCCTTGTCAGGAATAAGATCATTTTAGTTTAAGGTCACCCAATAAGTAAGATTCCTAAGACTCTGCCCACTGATCATTATGTTCCATTTTGCATTCACATTGCACCTTTGCTCAGAGCTCAAAATGTTATTCAATTCTCCTTGGAAAGCTCTTTGCATTTGCAAATAGACAAGATAATCCATGACATTTTAATACAAACAATATGTTACCGAACTGTTACTGAACATTATAAATAGCCTTGCCTAAATGTTGCTGCTTGTGCTCTGTTTCATTTTGGATTTGTGTCCAGAGTTATGTAAAATTGTACTGCAACCAATACAACACAGGCATACTGAAGTGGTTTTAAAATGATAATGGAAATGCGTAGGCACAGATATGGATACACAAATCTTGTGGGTGTTTAGAATGAGTGTGAAGGGCAGAATTTGGCAATTCGCAAATATCAGTCTTGGGAAGTTATTAACCATTTACCAGCCAAGTAAGCTTGGTTTCTAGCCCTGAGGCAAAACGGCCAAGGGTCCTTCTCTAGTTCAAGAACATCTCTCCCTCCACCATCCATCACCTCCTAATATCAACTCTTTCCTGTGTATGATAAATCCTTGAACACTGAGCTTATTGGATACTCACAGACTATCTTTAGATAATTCCACTAGAATAAAAACTGTGCTTCTCTACCAGATCCCTACTTTATTTCATAAACAGTCAAAATTATTGAAAATCTACTTGCTGCAAGGCTCTATTAAGTGCTGGTACAGACTATGAAGAAAAGCAAATTTTCAATTACCAATCATTTACTGAGGGGATGACAGAGTATAAGACATTCCTGCTTGCTTTCATAGACATCCCCATAGTGAAATTATCCCTCATAAATTTGTGAGTTTACCAAAAAAAAATCCTTTAGATTTCTTCTTTTATCTTAATTAAGCCTGTAAAATGGGTTAAATATGTCCTAAATTGAGCTTCAGACAAGTTTAATGACTTAGCCAAAGTCATAGAGCCACTCAGAAGACACCTCAATCCCTCTGATTTCAAGTCTTGGCATTTTCCATCAATGTAGAAAGCAGAATGAAAACACTCCGGTCTTGTAAAAGGAATGACAAAGCAGGTCAGGGTGCCAACTCCAATAGAGCTGCAATGGGGAGAATTAAATCTGAATGGGGAAGGGGGGTGGCGGTAATCATGGAAAGTTACAGGAAGAAATGGCCCAGTCTCTGAGCATGAGTAATATTTGGTAGGTGGAAACAGAGGGTAGGAGATGCTATGTCAAGTTGAAGGAACAGCATGCGTAAAATCATGAAAGTAGGAAGTGTAATGCAAGTCTGGGGAGCTAGGAGTAGTCACAAACATTAGAAGGATGCAGTGGATGACCCAAAAAGTTGCAGATCAGAATGTGGATGGCAATGAATGCCATGCTCAGGACTTTATCTGGAGGCTATGGAAAGCCACTGAACTTTTCCTGAGGAGGGTAACCCTGACTATATATAACGGGGTCAGTGCTAGGAGCATATGAAAAACAGAGTATCATCCATGCTCTCGGATCTTAGAACTGCTTACTTCCTCATCTTCCATAAGCAATTATTCTGAACCTCCTTCTTGCTCAGGAGCAAAAAGTTCAATCACATCCTCACTTGAGCTAAGCCAAAACCTCATTTCAGAGACAATAGAGTACCTCACTGCGTTTCTTTTCCACATCAAATGATTTTCATAAATTCCAATCTTGCTAGGAAAGTTAAGTGTGTGAATATTTTTCTATGCCTTTTCCATTTGGGGCTTTATGAGCTAGCCTGTCAGTTACTCCTCACCACACACATTTGCAGCTTGAAAAAGAAATCAAAATACAGAAATCCTGGGCTGCTTATTCACTCCTCTGTACACACTTTTTGCCTCAGCAATACTATCTGCAGATGCTGCCTCACAGCTATTCACAACTAAGTAACTTGTCTAACAGATTTTCGGAAATCTTTTGTATGAGCACCACCAATTGTTTTCCTTGTTTTTTTTAAATATTTATTTATTAATGATAGACATAGAGAGAGAGAGGCAGAGACACAGGAGGAGGGAGAAGCAGGCTCCATGCCGGGAGCCCGATGTGGGACTCGATCCCGGGACTCCAGGACCATGCCCTGGGCCAAAGGCAGGCGCTAAACTGCTGAGCCACCCAGGGATCCCTGTTTTCCTTAATGTTAAGTGCAGGTGGGATAGACACTTGTATTCCAAATCCAATTGTTTTCTCTTGTGCTCAAAAAACAAGACAGACCTTTGTTTATATTTTAGCAACTTTTATTGCTACATTTTAGCAAAATTGCTTTTTTCCCCCCACCACAGCACAGGGGAAAACATTGACACTAGTGAGAACACTAAGAGATACGAAACTGTAATTTTTTCTGCCACAACACTGAGTGTGACATATTTTAACTCAACCCTTGGGACTGCGGTCAACTGAACAAAAACAGAAGTCCTTAAAAGATACTCGGTTCAATCGGAAGAGAATCAAGATTCAAGAAGCCATGCACCTTCATTTATGGTTATGGCTCTAACTTATGATCTAGGGAAGGAAGTTTTATAGTTAAAACATTTTTCTTCATTATCATCAAGTGTAGAAAAAGGAATTGTATAGTAAGAAATTCATTTATAATTTCACAATTTCTAACAATTACTTGTTATTTAAAAGGACCTGCATTTCAATGCAGGCACATAATTCATCAGTGTACATACATTACTCAAAGCTAAGGGAATTCGATGCAATTTATTTCTTCAATAATACAACCCCTTCAAACGAATCTGTGTATTTGCAGGATATCAAGATGGAGCTGTCCAAAAGGGAGTTGGAAATACTTTCAGAGAAAGTGAGCTCCAAAATGAGTCTCAAGTGAATTAATATAAGGACAGGTCAGTGATTCTAACTTCAACAACAAGGAACTCAGTCACCCACAAAGACTGTGAAGAGTGCTGGGCTCACCTAGAATTTGATGTAGTGGCACACATTTTTAAGAAGTTCCCCCAAAATGTTGATGCCAGGTGGGGAATCCTACTTGAGAACCATTGGCTTAGATCACTCTGAAAGTAGAGAACAGAGACAGATGTGGGGCATCAAGGAGAGGGACCAGAAAAAAGTGAATGGATGAGATAAATAGAACTTGGTTTAAGTATGACAGCAGAAGCCTCTGGAACAGAAAATAATTTGTTGGCACTGTCAAATATCAAGGAGATAAAAAATCAAAGTCACATTACTAGTTAGTAACCTAGGAGAATAGTTTCATAGGAGTGGTGGGGACAGAAGCCAGATTTGGAGATCAGGAAATTAAGTTATGAAAGGGACAAGGCAGGCACAAGAGCAGCTTAACTTAATTTGCTGTTTTTCACAAGTCTGTAGACTGAAGTCAAGGAAGCACCAAGTCAAAGGGTCAAGGATACAGGAGACTAAGAATAACCAGTGACATAAGAGAGCAGAAGCATGAACCATGTCAACATGAATTCTCTCCCTTCTGCTGTCCTTTTACATCCTATGATGCCCTTACACCTTGTTTTATATAGCTTAGTGTCTTACTGTTCCTAAGTAGTAACCTCCTTCAGTTTTTTTTTTTTTTTTTTAAGATTTTATTTATTCATGAGAGACAGAGACAGGCAGAGAAACAGGCAGAGGGAGAAGCAGGCTCCACGCAGGGAGCCTGATATGGGACTTGATCCCGGATCCCCAGGATCACACCCCGGGCTGAAGGCGGTGCTAGACTGCTAAGCCAACTGGGCTGGCCCCCCTTTCCTAATAGAGTAGGTAATAGTTAAGTATTCCCAACAAAATAAGTTAAGACTCCCCAACAAAATGAAACTTACTGGCACTGGTTAAGTACTTTAAAGAAAAAAAGGATAGAGCAAGAGGAAGCAGTTTAGTGTTGAGACAGTCTTGGAAAAACTTGAGACTGAAAATAGAGGACAATGGGAATCCTATTTAAGCTTAAGCCTACAAAAGCTGAAGTGTATAGTTGGCCTATTTGAGGAATTGCAAAGCTAGCATAAGTGAACAAGACTTTAGAGCTGGAAATAGGTCAGAAAGGTGGGCACTGACCATATGATGCAGGGCTTGAATAGAATGCACTTCAGAATCTGGAGGTCAGAGAAATAAGATCCCCAGCAGATCGCAGAAAAGGAAACCAGGGGAAGCCCAGGTGGCTCAGCGGTTTAGCGCCACCTTCAGCCCGGGGCGAGATCCTGGAGACCTGGGATCGAGTCCCAGGTCAAGCTCCCTGCATGAAGCCTGCTTCTCCTTCTCCTTCTGCCTGCTCTCATGAATAAAAAAAAAAAAAGAAACGAAACCAGAAGCTGAAGCCAACTTTAAAAACTGCCAGTATTTCCTTCCACAGAATTACCAAAGACTGAATTATAATAACCAGAGCTGATAAGAGTGCAGACAAGCACTTTCTTTCACTAATTCAGAGTACCAACTGCTATAACCCTTTAGGAAAGCAACTTAAGGGATGCCTGAGTGGCTCAGAGGTTGAGCGTCTGCCTTTTGCTCAGGGCATGATCCTGGGATCCAGGATCGAATCCCACCATCAGGCTCCCTGCATGAAGCCTGCTTCTGCCAATGTCTCTTCTCTCTGTGTGTCTCTTGTGAATAAATAAAATCTTAAAATATATATATATAAAAAAACAGGAAAGCAACTTAAAACTAATTGAGACTCAGGAAAATGTCTTTAACTCTATTGTGAGAATAACTATTTTTAAAGACTAACCCAATACCAAAGGTTTTTAAAAGCTTTTATTTTAGAAAGGGTGTGTGGCTCAAGTTAGGTCCAGGGATCTAGTCCTGCATCAGGTTCTCTGCAGGGAGCCTGCTTCTCCCTCCACCTTATCTGTCTCTCATAAAGCTGGACTGAGCCACCCAGGAAACCCCATTACCAAAAATGTTTTATGTAGATCAGTTCCATTATTGCCATTAACAGCGCATTAGAAAACTGCCACACTGTACAGCAGATGGAAGAGTTCATTTTCTGATGATCTGCCCTAATAACTTCCCTAAGCCAGTTCTATTTACAGACTTTCTTTTGCTCAATATTTTCACCTTCACCAGCCCTCCTGAACTGAGGATTTTATCCTCTGCCATATCTTCTGTCACAATTGTGTCATCTGGTGGTCAGGGGAACAGAGTTATAGATGCTAAGTGCACAAAGGACATCTGGGAATCATTTGGTTCAATCCCTATACACACATAGGTAACACCCTCATTTTACATGGGCCAACAGAAAGTGAGGTTATCACAAACTGCTGGAAAATAAAGTTTGAGGTTTCCTGATCTTTCCACATCATGTAGGAGACTTAATAATCCCAATTACAAAATGGTTAGGAGCCCTCCAAATCCAAAACATTCTAGTTTGATAAAATCCACAGGAAAACAAGGTCAAACACAGAAACAGAAAACATCTGCTCATTAAAAAACAAAAAACCTCAATTCAAAGAACATTTATGGGGATCCCTGGGTGGCACAGCGGTTTAGCGCCTGCCTTTGGCCCAGGGCGCGATCCTGGAGACCCGGGATCGAATCCCACGTCAGGCTCCCGGTGCATGGAGCCTGCTTCTCTCTGCCTGTGTCTCTGCCTCTCTCTCTCTCTCAGTGTGCCTATCATAAATGAATAAAAATTAAAAAAAAAAAAAAAAGAATAAAAAAAAAAAGCACACACCTTTAAAAAAAAAAAAAAAAGAACATTTATGCAATGCCTATTATGTGCCAGTACCTAGGAGGGCAAAATTTACTGTCTCTAACATCAGATTTAATGGAGAACATGCTAAAAATTATAAACATCATAAAAAAAGCGCACACACCTGTAGTGGGAACAGGTGTAAGGACTTTATTCTACTATCCCAAATCAGAAATAATTTTTCTCCTGATTCCAAGCACTTTTGTTCCTCTCCTTAAGATACTCTTATCAGGGAAGTTTCACCTATGACACTCAAGATGAAATGAGAAAATTCAGCAACTTAAAGTGTAAGTATTTCAGGCAAAGGAAAGTGCAAAGGAATTGGGGTAAGAAAGAACACCTCCAAGAAAACCAAGTTTTCCGAAGAGCTAAAGCACCATACAGGAAAATTGTGACAGGAAATGACAGGGAAAACAATTTGGTAGGAACCAGACCAGTGCTTTAAACAATCTATTTATAAGTAGTTGACTTCAAAGGCAAGTTCTTTATCATCAAAACACAGCTATGTATGACAGGATATAATTACAAGTACTCGTAGCTATCCCTGAACTGAAACGTAATGAATGTGATAGGTAACCTTTCATGTATTTAATTTTTTTTTCCTTAGGGATTTAAAGGGACTATTTCCCAACTACTATAAATATTTTCAAAGTAATACCTGGCAGTTTTCTAACCAATTAAGTATACTCTGTTGTACAATAAACCACCTCACACCTTTCAGCAAGAAAGAAAAAATATCACCCAATGAATTAGAACAAGAGTTTGCTTTAAATATTTTTTTAAGTCAAAGGACACCAACCACACTCCTACTCAATTAAGAGAAACACTTTTACAATCCTGAGGTCTTTTATTTTCTTTACAGTTATCATGCCATGAATTCATAGGGAATGGGTTCCAGCAGTTCAGGCTCCTTTCCATTGGTTCTCACAAAGTGTGCTTCTCTGGGTGGGGCAGGCTATTAAAAAAAAATGCAAGGAACAATTATATCAAGCACAGTAATCAATTTCAAAGTGCTCTCAGAAACAAAGAAGTAACATACTCAATTCATTAACTTTTTTTTTTCATTAACTTTCATATAAAAGAAAACTATCACTGGAGCAAGTTTTAAAATTCCCAAGGTCAATACCAAGAAACCATCTGTGTCAAGCACTCACCTGGCGCTTCAGTTGGACCCAAGTACCTTTCTCTTTGGCTTCCTTCTTTTTCTGATCATTTTCCTTCACACGCTTCAGGAAGCTATCTCGGCTCTTTGAGTGTTTAATATGCTCAATGCGGACATTAATTCTCTTGGCAAGAATCTTGCCCCTGGGGAGAATAAACATTCCTGTAACTGCTTTGGCAAAAATATAACAGTCCAATTTTATTTGGTAGTTTCATTTATTAAATAAACCACGAACCTTTTACCAAGAGATAGGATTACTCAGCAAGGTGATGGATAATTTATAACCATTAATCGTACTGGAAAAGGCCTTGAAGCAAACATCTCCACTTTTTAAAAACGATTTATTTACTGGAGTGCCTGGGTGACTCAGTTGGTTGAGTGTCTGACTCTTGGTTTTGGCTCAGGTCATGATCCCAGGGTCATGAGATTGAGCCCCAGGTTGGGCTTTGCACTGAGTGAGGTGTCTGCTGGAGATTTTCTCTCTCCTCTCCCTCTGCCCCTCCCCGCTGCTCACGTTCTCTCTAAAAATAAATAAACAAAAGATTTATTTATTTACTGGGGGTAGGGACCAAAGGAAGAGTCTCCACGCTAAGCATGGAGCCTGACTCGGGGCTGGATCCCACAACCTGAGTCAAAACCAACTGTCAGACACTTAACCCATTGTGTCACATATATGCCCTCAAAATCTCCAACTTTTAAGCTTTCCTTAGATGAGGTGACAGACCTTGATATATTATTTAACCAAAACCAAATCTAAATTTACTAATTATACTTTTATATTCCGAAAACTAGAACTGCTTATCACCAAACCCTAATCAAACTTTCCCTTAAGTCTAGTTCAATTTGTTTCCTCTGACAGGATACAAGGCAAACACCCAGTTTGCTTGAGTTTTAAAAGGATATTTCATTTGCCCCACTTGAATGACCAATAAAGACATAAGTCCAATTGGCAAAGTGAAAAGGGGGTAGGTATGAGGGGATACTGATCAGCGAGAAAGAATCCTGATATTACTTACTTAACTTGTTTGTTTACAACAATGCCAACAGCATGCTGAGTAACATTGTAGACCCTTCCAGTTTTGCCATGGTAACATTTGTGGGGCATTCCTTTTTGAACAGTGCCCATTCCCTGTTAAGAAAGGAGATGAAAGTTATGCCAGCAATTTCCCCTTCCCTTTACATCTGGACTCTTATTAAAGTAACTAAGATATTCTAAAATTTTCTTTTAAAGGCAACTCAAGAGCTTTCAGAGCCGGTGAAATGTGTTTTTCACATTGCTTTAAGCAATCAAAAAGACAATCATCATTAAGCTCCAGAGTATCAGGACACATTTGAACACTGGTCACAAAAGAACATAACTTGTTTAAAAAACAAACAAACAAAAACCCTCCATCTCCATTAACAATTGAATTTTGCACTAAGCTATTACCCCTTTCCACGTCAACAAACTCTTGGTTTTTCCACAACCTGTTAAGTAACGACAAAAGTTCTTAGATTCAAGAACAGCACTTTAAATAACCCTGGTTTCTGAAAGTTAAATTAGCCATTCTACATTTATGAGCTCTTATTCGGACTGAAGATTTTCCCTATTTAGGAGAAAAAGCCAACAGATTCAACATACATCAGTATTTGAATTCCAATACCAGACTAAACTTTTCTACCTTCTTAATACTATTCTGTAGGCTATTTACCCAACTTTAGAATTTACCTTGATGTCCACAATATCACCTTTCTTATAGATTCGCATGTATGTGGCCAAAGGAACAACTCCTGCACCCAAAAAAAAATCAGTATAGTTAATATCAAGATTAAAAAGTGTAGAGTATAAAAGAAACACGTAAGCTTACTAGCTTTCAACATACTTATCTTTGACAGTTGTATTTTTAAATCTTGCTGGTAAGAAATTACTATATGAAATTCATGCTTTTCATTTATTACAAAAATAAGTTAGGAAGGTGCCATTAATTAATGTCATTTAGTAAGAACGCATCGTATGACTGTATGCTATGTTTGCTAAGAGGGTAAATCTACTTACCATGTTTTCTAAAAGGCCTAGAGAACATGTAGCGGGTACCTCTCCTCTTTCCCTTTGTGTTGGTCATTTTGGCGAATTACTGAAAACAGAAAGCATAAAAGTGAAATGCAAATGCAAAATTGACATTTGTCTTTTCAAACAAAAAAAACAAACAATCCTATAAACGTCTAATGCTTGCACTATAGGAGCAACAGAATTAAGAAATGTAGCAAGCTGACTCACCAATCAGTATTTCTTATAAATGGTAAAACCCCATCATTTTGGCACATAAGATTTTTGGCAAAACTGCCTAATTTATATTAACAGTAAAGCTACTAGGTAGCAGAACTGGAATTTAGAACCCACACCAGTACTTTCCCTATTAGAATATAAAAAACACAACCAAACTTCTGAAACCACGCTATTTGTGGTAGAACCCAGCCCAGAATGCTAAAGGCACTGGAATCGCTAACTAGTTGGTAATTTATTGTTGGAGTTAAGACAACTCAGCCCTGCATTTTTACATGGTGGATTAAACCCCTTCTCTTAGAGGCATTTTTTTTTATTGCTTTAGGTCATTTGAGGGCAGAACTACCACTACTGAGAATTATTCCTACTACACGGCAAATCTACGGTAAGTCAGGCTTAACCTGAAGGCACTGTCATATAAATCAGTCTCTTACTAACATCATTTCAAAAGACTCCAAAGTACCTCACTCATTTAGCACGGAAGGTAAGGAGACACAATGTTTCCCCTAACCCACCAAGGCCGAATCACTGTTACAACATACGCATCCATTACTCTTTAAAAAAGCAACTAAGCATCTATTAAGAGCCCGATATCCTGCTTTAATTCTCAGATTCTGTACATTTGCATCAACTCATACCAAAGTACCAAGTTCAAAAGCCGGGAGAGAGACTCTGCAGGTCAAAATCGCTTCATGGAGTCACTAGGTGGCAGATTCAGAAATGCGAGGGAATTCCTGACTGCAGAGTTCATTCTCCTTCCACCAGACCCACTTTCCCCAGTAAAGAAAAAAATCTACCCCACCACGAACCAACAACACACGCCTTAAAAAGTAATAATAAACGTAGGAAACAGTGATGCTTTCAGATTCTGCAACAGTACCCAACAGGATCCACTACAAAATGCAACCAACCTGCAGTTTGCTCACCTCTGGTAGGGAACGTTTATAAACCAGATGAAAGAAAGAAAAGGAAAACAAAGCAAAACACAACTAAGGATAAATAGCAATGGACTTTCCCCCGAAGTTCCAAACGGGACACACAGCTATTCACAGGCTGCCCCAACGTTAACAGAACACTCGCGGCAACCTGAAAGCACTTTCCGTGGGTCCAAAGGCGACTCGAGGCCCAAATCTAAAACCGCCGGATGCCGTCTCGCGCCGACGCCGAGCTGGTCTGGAGCTCTCGTCTTGCAAGGCAAGCATTCTGTTTTCGGGCCGCGAGCCCAGGTTTTCTCACACGACCAGGCCTCGCGGAGGGCACAGCCCCCCAGCCGGCCCCCGCTCCCGAAGCCCCCAGCCACGAACATCACAAGTTCAGGCCTCCCAGCAGGGGCCAAAACCCCACACCGAAGAGAGGCCGCTAAGCACTGGGCCACGCGGCCCCACACAACCTGTTCCGAGGCCCAGGACGCCGAAGCTGAAGCCGTGGGGACACGGGGAAAACAAGCCCCTTCCCAGAACGACCCGAGCTGCCTCGGCCCAGCGCCCGGGCTCCGCTCTCGTCGAGTCTCTCCCCGCGCAGGGCGCGGCCTGCTGCCCAGCCCCCGGCCCAGGAGACCCAGTCTGGATGAGCACAGGCCCCCCCCCACCCACGCCTCCACCGGCCCGTGGGCCCCGGACAGGCTACACCGTCTCCCTAGGCCCTCAGTGCCGGGAGCACCGCTTACAGGCTCAGAACCCCAGTCTACCGGGCACGCGGCGCCGGGAGCCACGCGTAGGCCCTACCTGGAAGATGGCGGTTCCGGCCGAAAGGAAGGAGGCGGGGCAGCAGCGCGCTCCTTACAAGGGCCTACGGGCTGCCCGCAGCACTGCCCGAATGAAATGAGAGGCGAACGCCGCTTCTCTGGGGAACGGGGTTCTGCTCAGAGAACAAGGAGAGCCTGTCGGAATATTTTTCTTTCCTGTGGAAAAGAGGCAATAGACCAACACAAGCTGACATTTGGAGCTTTCCAGACAGCCCGCAAAGGGGCCTTCCAGGGCGTCCAACACGACGCCGACGTCCCGCGCGTGCCGACGTTCGCCTTTGCGCTGAGCTTACGCCGGAAGCGCGCGTGCGTCGGCGTCGGCGTCGGCGTCGGCGTCGGCGTCTCCGGGGGCCCGGGAGAGGTTGGTGTGATGGCGCCTTTGCGCCTTTGCGGGGCTAGGAGCTGCTCTGTGTTTGCGGAAATGATTACGTGGACACGAGAGACAGATTGTAAATGAGGCAAACGTATTATCCAGTTTGTATGTCTTTCGATTTTCTTTTTCCTTTATGAGTCAAGATACACCACGCTCTTGCTGGTGTGTGCGTAAATGTTACGTCCATTTTGAAAACGATTTGGCAAAATTTCAAATAGTCTACCCTAGTGTTCTGCTCCTGAGTGTATAGCTTGTAGAAACTTCGGCATGTAAGCCAGCACTGTCAGTAGAAGCAAGAAATCAGCAAGATCCACGGGAGAGAACAGATACTTTAATGGAATGCTCATGTGATGAACTGTGCCAGTCCATCAATACTGGACCCAGAAATACGAAGCAAAAAAAGAGCAAGATGTAGGACGTACATAGTGTGACAACTTATATACATAGAATCTTAAAACATGTAAAACAGTACCATGTGTTGCTTAGGTATTCTATGCAGATTGGTGGAAGTAGTCAAGAAATAAAAGGGAGTAAAAATCGAATTTAGAAATTTCGTGTCCGGTAGGGAAGGAATCATGAAGTAGTAAAAGAGGCTTTTACTGTTTTGACCATTATTAAGCAAGCTGAGTATGGAATTTGTAGGTAGCGGTTGTTTTATTCATTACGGTTTTCTGACACATTTTTTAATAAAGTGTGTTTTTTAGAGCAGTGTTAGATATATTTAAAAACATTTTCTTGAGAAAATCGTACAAAGAATTTCTGTGTACCTGGTACCCAGTTTCCCCTATTAACATTTTACATCAGTATGGTACATTTGTTACAGTTAGTGGACCAATTTTGTGCATTATTAACTAAAATCCCCTGTTTATTCAGATTTCCCCGATTTTACCTAATATGCTTTTGATATCAGGATTCCATCCAGGGCACCGCGTTACATGTAATTACGATGTCTCCTTATGCCGTGGCACTTTCTCAGACTTCCTTGTTTTTGATGAGCTTGACATTTGAGGAGTACTGGTCAGGTATTCGTAGAATGTCCCAATACTGGAATTTGATGGTTTTCTCATTATAGTTTTGTGATGCATTTTCTAAAAGTCAGCGAAGCAACAAAGATCTTAACATGTTTGAATTTAAATAATGCTATCCCATTGATCTTTCTGCATTTATTTGTTGTACTCCCCTGATGTATCTGGAATGTGTAATTTCTAAAAACAGCATAGGCCCCAACATCTTGATTGTATACATTCTGTGGCTTTAGTCTCTAGCCCTGAGCTCACTTGCTCAAGAACTTGAGGTATCAGGAGCCAGTCTTCATCAATTCCTCTAATACATTGACTCCTCCACCTTCACTGTTAACCATTAACTCCCTTTAGCTTCTATATTCTTCACCTAGCTTAATTTAATAGTTCATCATCACAGTCACTCCATCTCAACTAACTCAAGTCAGTTTTCCAGATCACTCTCCTCTAACAAGTGGACAGCCTTGGGTAAATGCAGCCTGTTTTCGTCAATATAAAGAGTTTTTAAAATTAAGATACATCACAAGATTTCTGGCTCCTCTTGAAAAATCAGAGGATGTGGCGACATAGGATTGACAGTTTTGGTGGCAGCAATCCAGTGGCCACCCCATTTAGATTGGATATATATTCTTTTTTTTTAAATTTTTATTTATTTATGATAGTCACAGAGAGAGAGAGAGAGAGGCAGAGACACAGGCAGAGGGAGAAGCAGGCTCCATGCACTGGGAGCCCGACGTGGGATTCGATCCCGGATCTCCAGGATCGCGCCCTGGGCCAAAGGCAGGCGCCAAACCGCTGCGCCACCCAGGGATCCCCTGGATATATATTCTTGAGTTTCATGTCCACTGAGCCTGCTTCAGTTGTTTACTTGTCTTATCTCTGTAGGCATTTGATCGTACACTCGTGATCAACAATTCTTAAGTGGTGCCTAATATTCCCACTGCGGTTCTAGAGTTAGTTTACGTATCTACACTTTGTAAAGGTTATTTCACATTTTTTCTTCGATAACCAAGTCTTCCATCCCTTTTCTTCACCTTTTTTCAGCTGATAATTGCTTCATTTTTATCGATATACAAGCATGCTTTGGTCTTTCCATCTAAAACCCACAACCCTTTCCTTCCACCTTCCTGGCCCAACTTGACTCATTTTCCCTTCTATACTGCTCCATGTTTTCTTCCATAAAACTTTTTAAAAAAGGAATCATTGAAATTACTGTTTTTGTACATTAAAAACTGTCAGATTTCAGCAATGTCATTGCTGAACATTATTATCTCTGATCTCCCATTCTGTTTTCAGTTTCATCTGACTTCTACCCCAGTTATGCCGTTAAAATTGCATCTATGTTCCCAAAACGAAAACATATTCTCTGTTCATGTCTTCCTTCATCTCTCAGAAACTTTGGCCATTCCCTCCATGAAACACTACCCTTTCTGACCACTCCACATCCTGTTTTACTGGGTTTCTTTATTCTTCCTGTCCTATAAATAAAAGACTTCCTCAGAACTTGGACTAGTTCCCCTGCTCTTCTCTTTCTATCTCTTCTTAGGGAATTCCATGAATACCTATAATTTTAAATTTCATCTCTATCCTGCTTACTACCGGATTAATTTGTTTACATTCAAGACTCTTCTCAAAACTATTCAGGGTAAATCTATTCTTGGATACTTTTCAGTATCTCAAAGTTAATGGGTCCAAAATAAAACTTAGGTTTTCCACCTCCAAACCTGTTTTCAGTCCAGTATTTTCCATGTGAGTAAATAACATAAACCAGAAACCTTGGTTTCATTTTTAAGTTTTTCTTTGCCCCACCATATCCATCAGCAAATTTTGTCCGGTTCCACCTATAAAATATATCTACAGATGGCCTACTTCTTTCCATCTCTACTACCACCACTGGAATCTCTTGCCTGAACTAGCAATGGACCTGTCAAGGTCACTTCTTTCTAGCTTCTGCTCCATCCTTTTTTTTTTTAAGATTTATTTATTTTGAGAGACCGTAAGCACAAGTATAGGGAGGGGCAGAGGAAGAGAAAGAGCAGGTTCCCCACTGAGCAGAGAGTCCGGACTCTGCTCAATCCCAGGACCCCAAGATCATGACCTGAGCCAAGGCAGACACTTAACCAACTGAGCCACCCAGGTGCCCCTGGCTGACATTTTCTATGTAGTAGTCAAAAATGGTCTTTTAGAAATGTGAGCCTGATTATATCATGACTTTGCTCAAAGTCCTCCAACGGCTTTCTATTACTCTTAGAATAAAATTTAAACTCATTACCTTGGTTTACAAGGTTGCGTAAAGCAGTTCTTGGTTAACTTTCCAGGTTCACTTGGTTCCTGCCCCAGTTCATTGGAGTTCTCACTGCCCTCTGTAGTTCCCTAACCCAAGCCAGGTCTTTCTAGCCTCAGGGCCTTTGTGCACCCTTTTCCCTTTGGCTTTCAGATGGCTCATTCTTTCTCATCTTTTTGTTTCCTAAACATTAACCTATGTAGCTTTATTATCTATGTAGTTAGGAATTTAGAAAGATGTTTAAGTTATAAAGCAAATCCAAATGTCTCTGACCAAAGTATTTGCAATTCTATTTTAGGTGACTTAAAAAAAAATCTTTGTTATAGGAAAAATTTAATTCTAAGTCAGTACTGTTTTTTAGTATATTCTGTTATTTATGCCACTCATGAGTTGGTCCAGGCTAAGTGTAACCAAAATTGTATTACTGTTAGCCTAAGAAAATAATAAAAACATAAAAACATTAGTACAACAATCCAAAATTAAATGTGTTCTTGCTGTGGCCCACCATTTTAGACTTTGTACATCGTTCATGACTTAATTGAATAATAAATCATTGAACAGTATCATGATATATGTATATGTGTGTATACATGAGAGAGTGAGAGACTGAATTAGATTTTTTAAATGTAAACACTAAAATGGGCAGATCCTAGGTATACAAGTAGATGATTTTTTACTAACTTTTATTTTTTTAAAAGATTTATTTATTTATGATAGACATAGAGAGAGAGAGAGAGACAGGAGGAAGAAGCAGGCTTCATGCCAGGAACCTGATGCGGGACTCGATCCTGGAACTCCAGGATCATGCCCTGGGCCAAAGGCAGGCGCTAAACCACTGAGCCACTCAGGGATCCCCTTGACTAACTTTTATAACCTTATAACCAATATTTCCAACAAAGATGTAGGGTATTGCCGTCCCTGTGGAAAATTCCCTGATGTTCCTTTCCAGCCAGTCCTCCCCTACCAGAGCCATTCAATATTCTGATTTCTGTAATTATGGATTAGTTTTGCCTATTCTTAAATTTCACATAAATGGTGTTATACAGTGTGTACTCTTGTTTGTCTGCTCTTTTTGTTTGGCCTGTTTTCGAGATTTCCATCATGTCATATGTACCAATAGTTCAATTCCTTTTTTTTTTTTTAAAGATTTTATTCATTTATTTGTGAGAGATAGAGAGAGGCAGAGACATAGGCAAGGGGAGAAGTAGGTTCCCTGCAGGGAGCCCAATATGGGACTCGATCTCAGGACTCTGGATCACGACCTGAGCCAAAGGCAGATGCTCAACCACTGAGCCACCCAGGCATCCTAGTTCAATTCCTTTTCTAATACTAAGTAGTATTCCACTGTGTGAATATACTACAAATTATTTATACATTCTTCTCTTGATGGAAATTGGGTTGTTTGCAAATTTTTGATGCTATGCATAAAACTATCAAGCATTTTGTGTGTTTTAATTTCTCTTGGGAA